TTTGGAAAACTCAGCAATGGCCACAGGACTGGAAAAGTTCTGTTTTCATACCAGTCCCAAAGAAAGGCAATGCCAAAGAATGCTCAAACTACCATACAATTGTACTCATTCACACGCTAGTCAAGTAATTCTTAAAAGTCTTCAAGCCAGGCTTCAACAGTATGTGAACTGTGAACTTCCAGATGTTCAAGCTGGTTTTAGAAAAGGCAGAGGAACCAGACATCAAATTGCCAACATCCGCTGGATCATCGAAAAAGCAAGAGTGCCAGAAAAACATGTGCTTCTGTTTATTGACTATGCCAAAGCCTTTGACTGTGTGCATCACCACAAACTGGAAAATTCTTAAAGAGATGGGAATACCAGACAACTTGACCTGCCTCTTAAGAAATCTGTATGCAGGTCAGGAAGTAACAGTTAGAACTGGACATGGAACAACAGACTGGTTCCAAATAGAGAAAGGAGTACGTCAAGGCTCTATATTGTCACTTGCTTAGTTAACTTATATGCAGAGTAGTACATCATGAGAAACGCTGGGCTGGAGGAAGCACAAGCTGGAATCAAGATTGCTGGGAGAAATATCAATAACCTCAGATATGCAGATGACACCACCCTTATGGCAGAAAGCAAAGAAGAACTAAAGAGCCTCTTGATGAAAGTGAAAGAGGAGAGTGAAAAAGTTAGCGTAAAGCTCAACATTCAGAAAACTAAGATCATGGCATCTGGTCCCATCACTTCATGGGAAATAGATGGGGAGACAGTGGAAACAGTGGCTGACTTTATCTTTTTGGGCTCCAAAATCACTGCAGATGGTGACTGCAGCCATGAAATTAAAAGATGCTTGCTCCTTGGAAGAAAAGCTATGACCAACCTAGACAGCATATTAAAAAGCAGAGATATTACTTTGCCAACAAAGGTCCGTCTAGTCAAGGCTATGGTTTTCCCAGTAGTCATGTATTAATGTGAGAGTTGGACTATAAAGAAAGCTGAGCATTGAAGAATTGATGCTTTTGAGCTGTGGTGTTGGAGAAGACTCTTGGGAGTCCCTTGGACTACAAGGAGATCCAAACAGTCCATCCTAAAGGAAATCAGCCCTGAATATTCATTGGAAGGACTGATGCTAAAGCTGAAACTCCGATACTTTGGCCACCTGATGTGAAGAGCTGACTCATTTGAAAAGACCCTCATGCTGGAAAAGATTGAAGGCAAGAGGAGAAGGGGACGACAGAGGATGAGATGGTTGGATGGCATCACTGACTCAGTGGACATGAGTTTGAGTAAACTCCGGGAGCTGGTGATGGACAGGGAGGCCTAGCATGCTATAGTCCATGGGGTCGCAAAGAGTCGGACATGACTGAGCAACTGAACGGAACTGTGGCCACAGAGATGCTTGTGACAAAGTCCCACATTGACTGAGAGGTGGATGGAGACAGGAACTGTGTCCAGAGCCTGGTGCAGCAGGAGTAGGGGGCTGGCAGAGTGAGAGGATGGAGGTGGACAGATCTCACAGGACTGTGCAGAATGAGGAAGTGTTCTCTCTGGGTCATCCAATGAGGTGTCTCCAGGTGCTGAAGGGCGTGGGCTGTGTGCCTCGAGGCAAGGTGGCCTCTGGAGACTTTGGAGACAAAGAGGGGAAGATGTTAGGGTCTGATTTGTATTTCCCGAGGGTAGGTTTCTTTCTCTGAGAGATGGTGATTCCCGTTTCCTCTCATTCTCACCACAGATGGATGGATCTGGGTTGGACTCAGAGTAGGATTTACTGCAAGCATCATAGTGCAGGTGTGTGGCTTGCTAAGGAGCACAGAAACCTTTGTCCCATGTTCTTAGGGGCGCCTAACCCTCCAGGAGAGAGGAGATGCTGAACAAGAGGAACCTCTGGGGGCCCAGCTGAAATGTTTACAAAGTCACCCACCAAGTAAAGGAAAGGGAAACAGACATTTCCACCTGAATCCCACCAGAGAAACCTACCAGATAAGCAGGGACCATCTTACCAGGCAGAGGGGTCAGTCTGGGTCTGGGACACACCCCACCAGAAACCCCAGTGGGAGGAGGAGATGGGGCTCTCAGAGGAGGAGGAGGAGAGAGTGCTGAGGTTAAAGGCCAGGTGAACATGGCCAAAACCTGTACCACTGTGCCAAGAGAGTGAGCAGATCTCTGAGGACCAAGTAAGAAAGCACAGAGCCACCCCACACCCAGTGGTCCTCCTAGGTCCACAGGGCCTCCCATGTGTTGGTCCTCTCCTACCATCCTAAACACTTTCATGACCCTGAGACACCCTGAAGAGCCTTTGTGATATCCGTGGTTGATGGGAGGCAGGCTTCAACAGATGGCCCTGAAAAAGAGCTGCGGCCACACAGTCGTTCACATGGAGTTTCCACCCAGGGGTGAAGGACGCATTGAGACACAGGAACCAAGAAGAGCTCTGCCGACAAGAGCCCATCACCCCACTACAAACACAGATGCTCCCACAGATGGCAGAACCATGGGTTATCCATCAGATTGGGCAGGTACAACAACGTGTCACTGTGGGACTGGGGAAGCTCTTTCCCTCTGAAGGAAAGGTTCAGAGGAAGAACCTCTGAAATCAAGGGGTAATCAAACCTGTCCATCCTAAAGGAAATCAACCCTGAGTATTCATTGGAAGGACTGATGCTGAAGCTGAAGCTCCAATACTTTGGCCACCTGATGCAAAGAGCTGACTCATTAGAGAAGACTCTGATGCTGGGAAAGATTGAGGGCAGGAGGAGAAGGGGACGACAGAGGATGAGATGGTTGGATGGCATCATTGACTCAATGGACATGAGTTTGAGCAAACTCCAGGAGATAGTTAAGGACAGGGAAGCCTGACATGCTGCAGTCCATGGAGTTGCAAAGAGTCAGACACGACTGAGCGACTGAACAACAATCACAAATAGTAACATGACCGCATTTCAGTCAGTTGTGACACATAAACATGGGTGTAACCAACAGCTCCGTCAAACACAGAGCACTTCCTTCACCCTAGACCCTAGCAGTCCAGTAGAACTTTCCACAGTGAGCGAAATGTTCTTATATCTAACCATCTAACATGGTAACCACAGATCATGTATAGCTAGTGTGACTAAGAAACCAAATTTTTCTCTCATTTTTTGTCATTTTGCTTAAATTAAATAGGCACATGTGGTGAGTGGGAACCATTTGGCAAAGCACAGCCTGAGATATGTTTTCTCATACCGCCTTTTGGTCAGGCCAGACCTCCCATGAGAATGAGGAAACTACCCTGATTTCTGTACCTATCCACAGTGTTGCTGGGCCTTGGTCTCCATCAGCAGAATCGTGGTCACCCACACTGTATCAGGTGTCGCTTAAGCTCCCTGCCAGGGAGATCTCTGACCTTTGCACCAGCAGGCCACTCCTCTCTATTTCCATGTAGCATTCCACTGCAAGAGTAAACACTGTCTGTTCATCCACGCTTCTGTGGATGCATCCTTTGGTGGTTTCCAAGTTTTTCTCTGATGATCACAGCCCTGTGAATATTCTTAAGCACATTTTATTGTGTGCATCTGCTTTGATATCTGTTAAGTAAATAGCCAAAAGCTTGCTGGAATGGTGAGCATGAGTTCAGCAGTGGTTTTCACCTATATGATTTATTTACCCAGTGCTGTGCCCCATCTCTATGTGTGTGCGTGCATGCTAAGTCGCTTCAGTCATGTCTGACTCTTGGTGACCCCATGGACTGTAGCCCACCAGGCTGTCCTGTCCATGGGATTCTCCAACAAGATTACTGAAGTGGGTTGTCATGCCTTCCTCCAGGGTGCCCCATCTCTAACTCCACTCTAACAGCAGAAAGAAGAGAACTGAAGAGCCTCTTGATGAAGATGAGAGTGAAAAAACTGGCTTCAAATTCAACATTCAAAAAACTAAGATCATGGCACCCGGTCCCATCACTTCATGGCATACAGAAGGGGGGAAAGTGGAAGCAGTGATAGATTTTCCTTTCTTGGGCTCCAAAATCACTGCGGACGGGGACTGCAGCCATGAAATTGAAAGACACTTGCTCCTTGAAAGGAAAGCTATGACAAACCTAGACAGCATTTTAAAGAACAAAGACGTCACCTTGTTGACAACAGTCCATATAGTCAAAGCTATGGTTTTTCCAGTGGTCATGTACAGATGTGAGAGTTGGACCATAAGAAAAACTGAGCACTGAAGAATTGATGCCTTCAAATTGTGGTGTTGGAGAAGACTATTTAGAGTCCCTTGGGCTCCAAGGAGATCAAACCAGTTGATCCTAAAGGAAATCAACCATAAATATTCATTGGAAGGACTGATGCTAAAGCTCCAATGCTTGGCCACCTGATGCGAAGAGCTGACTCACTGGAAAAGACCCTGACACTGGGAAAAATTGAGGGTAGGGGGAGAAGAGGATGGCAGATGATAAGATGGTTAGATAGCATCATTGACTCAATGGACATGAACTTGAGCAACTCCAGGAGATAGTGAAGGACAGGGGAGCCCAGCTTGCTGTAGTACCTGAGCTGGACATGACTTAGCTACTGAACAACAACAGCATGCTCTAGAAGTGATTGTCCTCCTGCCATAGACCCAGCAGCACCTCCTCTGGGCAGCCCCTGTACTAACTCAGCATCACCTGTATCCTTGAGTTCTGTTCTCTGTGTTCCTGAACAGTTTCAGGGTGCTTCTGTCTCCACCCCACTGGGGCCAGGCCCTCTGCAGTTGTGCAGAGAAGCAGGGAAGCCTCCACCACTTCCTTGATCTCTTTTCTGTCAATCCATGTGCACGTCACAATGTTTTGTGCTAAGTCTCAGGTACAGGATAGGGACAGGCTTCCTCAGTGGTAGAAGCACATCTTGCTCTGGAATGCTCAAGTATCTGGAAGGAAAAGGCCTGTGTGCATCCTCCAAAGAAAGTTCACCCTAGGACAGGCCTGACTCCTGCTCCTGGTTCATGGGCCAGAAGGGCACTTCCCCTACTAACCAGGCCTCCTTGTGCTCCTCCCCCAGGTCCCTGGCTGTTGGACCCCAGTACTCTTCCCTGGGGACACAGCCCATCCTCTGTGCCAGCATCCCAGGCTTAGTACCCAAGCAGCTGCGTTTCTGCCGGAACTACGTGGAGATCATGCCTAGCGTGGCAGAGGGCATCAAAATCAGCATCCAGGAGTGCCAACACCAGTTCCGTGGCCGCCGTTGGAATTGCACCACTATCAACAACAGCCTGGCCATCTTTGGCCCCGTGCTGGACAAAGGTACACGTGGTACCCGTCATGGCTAACCAGGCAGAGGTGGCAGCCCAGGGATGTGGATGCAGCAGGGCTCAATCCAGCTTCCCCCCTCAGTGGGAGTGGGCACAAGCCAGTTCGTTTCTTTTCTGCCTCTGTTTCTCACTTGTGCTCAAGCATAGGAATGGCACTTGCAGTAAGGGGCCCATGCTCATTACTATAGGGATCTCCCATGTGGGTCCTTTCCAATGCTCACCCACTCTGGAGGGTCCTCCTGGAGTTTGGGAAGGGTATAGGATCACACAGAGATTCCTCCTGCTTCTCCATTCCCAACAAACAGCTACACAATTCCACGGGGACAAGATTAACCACTGCAGTTTTCCTGAAGGAGCCAAAACTTCAGGCAGGTCTCAGAGAGAAAATACAAAAACAAACAGAAAACACAAAAAGGGGTGAGGGTTGGGGATCACAGACGCACACAGCCGAAGTTATCCAGGGTCCTGGAGCCAGGGAAGAAGAGGAAGATCTGGCAGGCTGGGTGTTGGTTAACTCTTGGTGAAGAGCAAATTTGCACAAGACATAGTAGCTTAAACAATAATCATCATGTGTTGTCGGTCCCAGCATCTGCAGATGTGGGGAGATGCAGTAGGCAGGGCTGGTCTCTGCTAATGAGAAAGAGAGAGAGATGAGCTGGTTTTCATCTCTCTTACATGCCTGGTGGCCCCTGCTGCTTCTGCACATGACCTGGGTTCCCCTAAATGCAGTGGCTGGGCCCGCCAGCAAGCGAGGAAAGAGGGAGGGAAAGAGAAAAAGAGAAGAGGGAGAGAGGCTTCTTTCACTGAGCATAATGTTTTCAAGATGCATCCACCTGAAGCATGTTTTGGTACTTTATTCCTTTTTATGGCTGAATTATATTCCATTGTATGGATGGATCACATTTTATTTATCCATTCATTTGTTAGAGGACAGTTAGTTTGTTTCAAGCCTCTTTTTGGCTGTTGTGAATAATGCTGATGTTTCAAGTATCTGAACACCTGTTTTTCAATTCTTCTGGATATATTCCTAGAAGGAGAATTGCATAGTAATTCTGTTTCGAGGAATTACCAAACTCTTTTTCCGCAGCAACTGCACCATTTTGCTCTCCCACCAGCAACACAAGAGGGTTCCAGTTTCTCCACACTTTTGCCAAAGTTTGTTATTCTCTCTTTTTTTTTTTTCCTTTAGCCCTCCCAGTGGATCTGAAGTTATGTCTCATTGTAATTTTTATTTGCACATCCCTGATGACTAATGATGTTGAGCATCTTTTCATGGGATTGTTGAACATCTGAATATCTTCTTTGGAGACATGTCTATGCAAGTCCTTTGCCCAGTTTTTAATTGCGTTGTTTGTGTTTCTATTGTTGTCAGAGTTCTTTATATATCCAACACTGGACACTTATCAGAAATATAATTTTCAAATATCTTCTCCCTTTATAGATTGTCTTTTCACTTTTATGAATCCTTTGATGTACAGAAGTTTTAAATTTTGATGACATTCAATCTGCCTATTTAGATATCATATCAAAGTAAACATTGCTTAATCTACAGTTATGAAGTTTTACACTTGTGTTTTCTCCTAAGAGTTTCATAGTGTTACTTCTTACATTTAGGTATTTGGTCTATTTTTAGTGAATTTTTGTATATAGTTAGAAGTAAGGATCCAGCTTAATTCTTTTGCATGTGGGAAACCAATTATTTCAGCACCATCTGTTCTAGTCTTTCCCCTATTGAATAGTCTTGGCACCCTGCTTAAAAATCAATTGTCCATGGATGTCTGGGTTTATTGCTGGGCTTTCAATTCTATTCCATTGGTCTATATGTCTACCATTCTTCCAATATGACACTATTTTGATTTCTATAGTTTTATAGTATGCTTTAGAGTTGGGAAGTATAAGTTCTCAAACTTTATTTTTATTTTACGATTGCTTCGGCTTTGATTGTTTTGGCTTTTGGAGAATCCCTTACAATTCCATATGAATTTTAGGGTTGTTTTTTCATTTCTGCAAAAAAAAAAGATTTTTTGAATTTTAATGGAGATTGCATTGAATCTGTATATTAGTTTGAGAAGTATTACCATTTTAACACTATTGTTTTCTAATCCATGGACATGGGATTTTTCCATTTATTTAGGTCTTCCTTAAATTTTTAGCAGTGTTTTATAAGTTTTCAGTGAATGAGTCTTATGCATCTTTGGTTAATGCATTCCTAAGTATTTTATTCTTTTGATGCTATTATAAATGAACTCATTTCATTCACTTCCTTTTCAAATTGTTCACTGACTATGTATAGAAGTACAATTGATTTTTGTGTTTTGATCCTGTATCCTGCAAATTTGATTAATTTTTTTCATTAGCTGTGAGAGTTTGTGTAGATTCTTTAGAATTTTCTATCTATGAGATCAAATCATCTGTGAATAGAAATGTTTTTGCTTCTTGCTTTCCAATTTGGATGCCTTTTCTTTCTTTTTCTTGCCTAATTGCTCTGGCTAGCACTTCCAGTACTATGTTGAATATGAGCAATGAGAGTGGGTACCCTTGTCTTCTTCCTGATCTTAGAGGGAAAGCTTTTAGTTTTTAACCATTGAGTATATGATGCTAGTTGTGAATTTTTCATAACTTCCCTTTATCAGGTTAAGGAGATTGTCTTCTATTCCTAATCTGTTGAGTGTTTGTGTCATGAAAAGGGTACTAGATTACATCAAATGCTCTTTCTGAATCACTTAAGATGATCACGTGGTTTTGCCTTCATTCTGTTCACCTGGCATTTCATCTAAGGAATTCTTGCCCACAGTAGTAGATATAGTGGTCATCTGAATTAAATTTGACCATCCCGTCCATTTTAGTTCACTGATTCCTAACAAGTTGATGTTCACTCTTGCCATCTCCTGTGTGACCACTTCCAATTTACCTTGATTCATGGACCTAACATTCCAGGTTCCTATGCAGTGTTGTTCTTTACATCATCAGACTTTACTTTCACCACCAGACACACGCACACCTGGGTGTCATTTTTGCTTTCGCTCAGCCTCTTCATTCCTTCTGGAGCTATTTCTCCACTTTCCTCCAGCAGCACATTGGACTCCTACTGACCTGGGGGTGGGGGTGGGGTCTCATTCTTCAGTGTCCTATCTTTTTGCCTTTTCATACTATTCATGGGGTTCTCAAGGCAAGAATGCTGAAGTGGTTTGCCATTCCCTTCTCCAGTGTACCACATTTTATCAGAACTCTCTACCATGACCTATCTGTCTTGGGTGGCCCAACACAGCCTGACTCATAGTTTCATTGAGTTACCCAAGGAGGCTGTGATCCATGTGATCATTTTGGTTAGTTTTCTGTGATTGCAGTTTTCATTCTGTCTGCCCTCTGACGGATGAGGACAAAAGGCTTGTGCAAGCTTCCTGATGGGAGGGACTTGTGGGAAAAACTGGGTCTTGCTCTGGTGGGTAAGGTGATGCTCAGTAAATCTTTATGCAATTTTCTGCTGATGGGTGAGGCTGTGTTTCTTCTCTGTGGTTTGGCCTGAGTCTAGCCCAGTCCTAGAATCTGTAGTCTCTGTGGTTGGCTATAGGCTCTATGGTAGGCTCTAGGCTCCATGGTAGGGGTCATGGTGACCTCCTCCAAAAGGACTTATGCCAGCATGCTGCACCTCCCAGGACTACTGCTGCCAATGCCCCGATCCTGAGGCCATCCACTGTTGACCCACGCCTCTGTGGAGACTCCCAAACTCTCACAGGCAAGTCTGGTTGAGTCTCTTGTGGGGTCACTGCTCCTTTCTCTTGCATTCTGGTACACACAAGGTTTTGTCTGTGCCCTCCAAGAGTCTTTGGCGGGTATGAGGTTTGATTTTAAACATGACTGCACCCTTCCTACCATCTTACTGTGGCTTCTCCTTTGTCCTTGGACATGGAGTATCTTTTTTTGGTGGGTTCCAACATCCTCCTGCTGATGGTTGTTCAGCAGCTAGTTGCAATTTTGGTGTTCTCTCTGGAAACTGAGTGCACATCCTTCTACTTTTCTCATATATACATATATATATATATGTATATATGCTATATTATAATATACACATTAATATACAGTATTTTTTTTTCTCTTTTGACTTACTTTACTCTGTACAACAGGCTCTGGGTTCATCATCTCAATTCAGCTGACTCACATTCATTCCTTTTTATGGCTGGGTAATAGGCCTTGTATAATATGACCACATCTTCTCTTGCATTCATCTGTTGGTGGACATCTAGGTTGCTTCCATGACCTGGCTATTGTAAATAGTGCTGCAGTGAACATTGGGGTGTGTGTGTCTTTTCCAGTTATGGTTTTCTCAGGGTATATAACCAGTAGTGGGATTGCTGGGTCATATGGTAGTTCTATGTTTAACTTTTTAAGGAAACTCCACACTGTTCTCCATAGTGGCTATACCAATTCTTCTTTTTTCTCCACACTCTCTCCAGCATTTATTACTTATGGACTTTTTGATGATGACAATTCTGACTGGTGTGCATTGATACCTCCTTGTAGTTTTGATTTAATATTTCTCTAATAATTAGTGATATTCAGCATCTTTTCATGTGTCTTTTGGCCATCTATATGTCTTCTTTGGAGCGATGTCTATTTAGGTCTTCCACTCATTTTTTGGTTGGATTTTTTGATTTTTTGATGTTGAGCTCCATGATCTATTTGTATATTTTAGAGATATTATTTGTATATATTAATTATATGTGTGTAGATAATACATATATATTAATTTCCCTTTCTTCTCTATTTGTATATATTAATCCTTTGTCTGTTGCTTAATTTGCAAATATTTTTACCCATTCTGCTGGAGTTTCCCTGGTGGCTCAGATGATAAAGAATCTTCCTGCAATACAGGAGGGTTTCCCTGATAGCTCAGTTGGTAAAGAATCCACCTGCAATGAAGGAGACCCCAGTTTGATTCCTGGGTCAGGAAGATCCACTGGAGAAGGGATAGGCTACCCACTCCAGTATTCT